GGTTGCGGGGACGACGGTTGGGGCAAGCAAATAACCGTCCGTCCCCGAACGAAGTAGCGCTTGGGAACACTCTGGGGGCGGGAGAAGGTAGACACAGGGTTTCTCAGACTCGTATCCGCGCCATCTTGATAGATTCGAGTACGATAGAAGAGGGAGAGGGGGGATCTCGAGACGCCCTAGCCAATCGGAGCAGTATCGCAGGCCCGGCGGTGGAAGTAGCTATCACAGCCGCACTACTATCGATCTCAGGTTCATGTCCGTCGAGAAGGATAGCTGTGGGCTGGAGAAGAGAAGTGAACGGGAGAATGTATGCACTAAATATGGCTGATCTGCCCGGAACGAGTTGTTAACCTTGCTCGATGAAGCCCGTGCACGGATTGCCGTCTACCTTTCAATGAAAGGGGCACACGCCTGCGCGCAAATTGCATATCAATATGTCTGCACGCGAAATGAAGAAACATGCCAGCCTGAAAGTTTTCCGCACGTCAGCCTGCGGCATATGAAGGTTGAATGCAAGAGCCTTAGGCGCTCATCAAACAAGATCATTTCAAAGATTGATTATCTGGATAACGGAGGTCTGTTTATAACTAAGTGAGGAGAAAGTAAGTATACTGTTCTAGCCTGTCCATCAATCGTCATCCGATGGCCTTGATCAAAGGCTTTTATCTAATCGTCTAGTTTGGGGATAAGTTTACCTCAGCATCTGTTACTTACTCTACGATATTATGCCAAGTTGGTCCGTCGCGGACAAACGCGCCTCTTCGTCTTCTCCCTCCTACAACCATGACCTCCTGGACGCCGCAACAAGCAGCTCTGCAGGAGATCCTGCAGACAATTCACGAGTCCACCGACACCCGTAATGCCGCTGTTCAGCGCACTATAACTCATGTATGCGCGCATCGCCCTGCTCTAACAAGCTCATGGACATTCATATGCCTCTCATTTCGCAGAAATTGAACAACTTCACGCGCGCCCCGGACTATGTGGCATACCTGGCGTATATTCTCTCTTCAATGCCGCAAGAGGAGGACCGCATCCGAACCATTGCCGGATACCTGCTTAAGAACAACGCGAGACTCATCCTACGTGCTTCTCCGGAGGTTTTGACCTTCGTCAAGTCCGCCGTGCTCGTGGCGTTCAACGATCCTTCGATCATGATTCGCAATGCGGCGGCGCAGGACATCGTCGCGTTCCTTGGGATCCTGGAGCCCAAGAATTGGCCCGAGTGTTTGCAGCAGCTGGTGCATTTGCTTGACGCGCCAAATGCAGATCAACAGGAGGTGCGTGCAATTTCCGTAACTCCTTGGAAGATATCACGGCCCCCTTTGACTCCCCCGAATTCTATCGTTTATTGGTTTACGCATTATGCGTTGTATCGACTACTGGCGTTGGGGAGGGGATTGTATTCCGCTCTCCTCAGCCCATCCCAGCCAATAACTATCCTACCCGCCACCTGGTGTGTTGCGGCTGTCTACTTTATCGGACAAACTCTGCCGGGTGGTGTTGCGATTCCTAATAACTCTGGGGCTCGATGAGCTCCGTGCTCGAAGTCACTCTATGATCCCCCAATTTCATGCAGTATCCCCTTCATAATACGCTCGCAGTCCATTTCACGCGAACCAGCTATCAGGAACCGCGTTTCGGTGGCGTAACTCGCTACTAACCCACTTTTCTCCCCAGGCCGCGTTCAATGTCCTTGAAAAGGCATGCGAGGACTACCCCAGAAAGCTCGACGTCGAGATCAACGGCACGTGGCCCCTCGAATACATGATCCCGAAGTTCATCGTCCTATCGGAGCACCCAAGCTCGAAAATGCGCGCTCATGCTATAGCGTGCCTTTCGTACTTCGTACCCATCGGATGCCAGTCTCTCTTCGTGCACATAGACACGTTCATCGCATGTCTCTTCAAGCGCGCGTCGGATGAGGACTCGGCTGTGCGGCGGCACGTATGCCAGGCGCTCGTCCTCTTGCTCGCCTCACGGCCTGAGAAGCTTATGCCGGAGATGGCCAACGTCGCGGAGTATATGCTTTACTCCACTAAGGACAAGCAGGAGAACGTGGCGCTCGAGGCCTGCGAGTTCTGGCTCACATTTGCGGAGGATCCGGATCTCGCGCCCTACCTACACCCGTTGTTGGGCAAAGTGGCTCCCGTCTTACTGGACTGCATGGTCTACAGCGAAGATGACTTACTCTGGCTTCAAGGAGACGAGGAAGATGCGGCCGTACCTGACAAGGAAACTGATATCAAGCCGCGCCACTATGGGGGCAAGTCGCACGGCTTTGAGCGCGAAGTCAACGGTGACGATGGAGGCCCAAAGCGTGTCGGCGCCTACGGCGAAGAACTCGATGAAGGCGAGGACGACGACGACTATGACCTCGACGATGACGAGGAGTTCGCTGAAGAGATGTCGACGGAGTGGAATCTTCGGAAGTGCGCGGCTGCTGCGTTGGATGTCCTTGCCGTCCGCTTCGGTGCCGATTTACTCAACGTGCTCCTCGAACCGCTGAAGACGAAGCTCTGGAGCGATGATTGGCTGCAAAGAGAAAGCGGGATTCTCGCCCTCGGAGCGATGGCAGAAGGTCGGGACCGTCTTCTTTCTGCGCTCTCGGCTGTCAAATTGGAAACTGAAAATCAAAATAGGTTGCATTGACGCCATCGAGCCTCACTTGCCCACTTTGGTTCCGTACTTGATCAATACCTTGAACGATCCCAAGGTGCGCCCAGGAAGCTTCGTCGTCAGTAGGCCGGCCTACCCACGATAGCACTCCACAGCCACTGGTCCGATCTATCACATGCTGGACACTTGGCAGGTACGCGAGTTGGTGCACTCAGCCAATCTCGGACGACCACAAGAACACTTTCTTCGTCCCGATACTGGAGGGGGTGGGTTTTGATCAATCTAGTACCATTTGCGATGACAATGACGTCAAATGACAGCTCCTCCGTATGGTACTGGACAATAATAAGCGGGTGCAAGAGGCGGGATGTAGCGCATTTGCAACGCTCGAAGAAGACGCCGGTCCAGAGTTGGCGCCATACCTTGAGCCCGTCCTGAAAAACTTGGTCTTTGCCTTCGATAAGTATCAGCACAAGAACATGCTGATCCTATATGACGCCGTCGGTACGCTGGCGGATGCCGTCGGAACAGCGTTGCAGAATCCGACGTACGTTGAAATCTTGATGCCACCACTGCTCAAGCGGTGGTCGAAGCTCAAGGACGATGATGACGACCTCATTCCTCTTCTGGAGGTAAGTATCTAGTGGCGGATTTGATTCAAATACTAACTCGCAATACAATGCAACCTTAGTGTCTTGCGTCTGTTACAATCGCGATCGGACCGGCGTTCTTGCCATACGCGGGCCCAATCTTCGACCGATGCCACACCATTGTGCACACATCGCTCCTGCAGTATCAAGCTTACCAGCAGAACCCGGAAATGGATGAGCCCGATCGTTCTTTCCTTGTGGTTGCGTTAGACTTGCTTTCCGGTCTGACGCAAGGTCTTGGAATGGCCTTGGAGCCACACATCGCGAGAAGCCAACCCAGCCTTCTCCAGCTCCTCACAGTATGCCTGAAGCATCCGCACGCCGCGGTACGGCAATCCGGATATGCACTAGTAGGCGACACGGCGATGAACTGCTTCCCGCTACTTCGGCCGCATGTCTCGGCGATCATGCAGGAGCTCATCTCACAGCTCGATCCGGAGCCCAAGGTCGAGTTCATCAGCGCCTGCAATAACGCGGCCTGGGCTGTCGGGGAGATCGCACTCCGGTACGGCCGTGGTGAGCCTCAACCCTTCTCTTTCACGCAATACCTTCCATTGTTGACAACCTTACTACAGACGATGCCGAGTTCCAGCAGTGGGTGCACCCCCTCGTCTCGCGGTTAATCCCCATCCTGTTGCATCCGAAGGCCCCCCGAAGTCTCCATGAGAACGCGGCGGTGTCAATCGGGCGCATTGGCCTCATGCACCCTGGTTTGGTTGCACCGCTCCTGCCCGAGTTCGCGCAGGCGTGGTGTCAGGCGCTGTACGAGATCCGGGACAACGAAGAGAAAGACTCTGCGTTCCGCGGGCTTTGCACTCTCGTGCAGACGAACCCGGCTGGGATCACGAAGGTTGGTGACGCATCTCTCGCTGACGTGAGAAGAACTCCCATTAATGAGCTGTCTCGTGCAGAGTCTGTTGTGGTTCTGCAACGCGATCGTCCGGTGGAATCAACCCTCGGCGGAGCTTAACAGCATGTTCCAGACGCTTCTCAATGGGTTCAAGCAGCACGATGCGGTCGGCTGGGCTGCCCAGGTTGCGACATTCCCGCCCGTGATCCAGGAGCGCCTCGCGACCCGGTACGGCGTCTAAGCGCTGTCCCCTCTGTCGAACTCTTTTTCTTAGTCTTGGCATCTGCGTGCTATCCTGTTCCGTCCTGGTCACCTTGTATCACAAGAATGCACCCTTTCGTGTCTCGGTACCCATCCTCCCAATGTTGTCGTCGCTCCTTTTTTTACTCTTACATCTGTGCACCTACCCCATATCCACGCCCCTCACCCAAGCTCACCTATATCCGTGCCCATGCTCACGCCCACCCCATCCATGCGTGTGCCTACATCCTTGCTATGTCCACCGTCGCCCCGCATCCGGAACCTCCTTTTACGTAGTGTAGTATTCACCTTCGCACCCCGGCCTCGGGATTTTTTACGCTCTTCGCCTCCTCTCGCATGTCTTGACTCGCTTGATTTTGCCCGTACATGGGTCTCACGTTTACGATGTGTCTGCAATGTGCATAGAAACCAACCCTGTGAGATGAGTGTGCTGTTTGATTCCGATCCAATTCGCAAGCCGTGTTTGTAAAATGTCAATGGTAAGGAAGTCGGGTCCACCACGGTTCGATCCCACCGCGCACTGATATTCACCCATTGCCTCGTGTGACAGTAGAAAATATCCGCGTCTCATCAGCCAACGATCCAACAGAACTAATACCAGTACGATGTTTGAAAAAGGATGGACATGTCCGGGATTGAACCGGACCCCTCTCGCATACTTGCACAATGGGCTTATGCTAAGCGAGCGTGATAACCAACTACACCACATGCCCCTATTTTAAGCGTTATAGCAGATTGCTATATCATTTTCTATGCACAATTCCATTAACCGCGCCGATAAGATTAGATCACCAACGATCTTAAGGAATCATGTTTTGGCCCGCCTCACCAGTCTCGATGACTCGAAACACATCCCTCCCCTTCTCCAACGGCTACCACGTCATAAAATGAGTGAGCTGACTACCAAGAATGCCTCTGTTATGTGATAATTAACTGTTTGTGTAGACGCAGAATCGCTGGACGGCCGTTTGCTCTTTGCTATCCCCAAGAAAGGTCCGTACGAGCGCGGACTGCTCTCCAATGCCCGCCTGATCCAACGGCTCGCTGCGTAGGGAGGTTGCACGAGAAGTGCCTGGAGCTATTATCAGGTAAGTACAGTCTATATGGCTGTTCCATCAGCTGCTTTACGACTTCCATCAGGCGCCGACATACAGTTCCGCAGACACCACCGACTAGATGTCTGTCTGGTCAAAAATCACAACATCGCTCTGTTCGTGGCACCTTGACGCTCTCAGGCTAGAATCCGTTCACTCACGTAGCGCGCAGTGTCTTCCTTCCGGCATCGGACATTCCGTCATTTGTAGGCAAGGGTAATGTCGATCTCGGCATCACCGGCCAAGACGTGATCCTTGAGGCGCAAATGGAGGAACATGTCACCGAGATCCTCAAGCTTGGCTTCGGAAAGTGCGCGTTGCAGGTGCAGGTGCCCGAGGCGGGGTCCATCAAGAGCGTGGACGACCTCGCGGGAAAACGCGTTGTGACAAGTTTCGAAGTTCTCTCGGGACAATACTTCAATGCCGTGGACGACCGGTTACAGCTAGCGACAGACAAGCGAACCAAGATCGAGTATGTTGGTGGAAGCGTAGAGGCGGCGTGCTCGTTGGGCTTAGCGGACGGTATCGGTACGTGATGTTTCGTTCATTCCGATGTGCTCGGGCTGATCGGATATTATGCGCATCTCCAGTTGACCTCGTTGGTGGGTCTTGAGTTTCGAACGTATCAAGAGTGCGAGCTTATCGGTCATATAGAATCGGGAGATACGATGCGCGCGGCTGGCCTGCACGCAATCGCGACTGTATTGCAGACAGAAGCCGTCCTGATCAAGTCCAGCACAACCAAGCACCCCTCGCTCGAGCCACTAATCAAGCTTATCACCAGCCGCATAGCAGGCGTGGTCGCGGCCGGACGCTACGTTATTTGCGAATACAACATTCAGCGTGTACGATTACACGATGCGACGGCGATAACACCTGGGCGACGCGCTCCAACGATCAGCCCGCTCGAGGACGAGGCGTGGGTCGCGGTTAGCTCGATGGTAGAAAAGAGCAAGATCGCTGATGTCATGGATGAGCTCGTGAAGATCGGGGCGGAAGATGTCCTAATTTTCAATCTCGATAACTGTAGAGTATAACGGAGCAGTGTAGACATAGCAATGTAGTTAGTATCAGTATCAGTCTCAGTCTCGAGTCTCTCGAATCCATCCACCGTGTCGTTGCCGTATCCCACGGCTACTATGCCAACCTTTGCCACGCAAAACGCAGAGTTTGTCCCAGGCACGGCTAAGCTCCTTCTCACAAGTTCTTTCGAGCTTTTGGCACAATGCTACCGAAACGGGCAAGGACAAGTTGTGGGTGGCTGTGGGATCGGCGGCGCCTGGCCTACACCGGCGGCAGCAACGGCAGCATGCCAATCACACCACCCTCTTCCTCCGACCACCTCCTGCCGCCGCTATTCCCACCTACGGGTCTGCAGGGTCGACGCAAACCCGAAACACTTACGAAAGCTAGCGCGCGCTCGTCGTAAAACCGCCGTATTTTCGTCGCGTGCAGGGTAATCCGTGAGCTATACTTGGATTCCAAGACCGCCGGGCTGACTGCCTGTTCTGTATTCAGTCGCAACAGCATTATAGTGTATATAGTGTGACTCCAGGGCCGGTGTTGGAACTCATTCCGGCCCTCAATGCCTCTCAAGACACCCGAGGAAACTTCTCGCAACGCAGAGGCAAGCGTTTTACTTTGAGTCCTTGATCCCGCACTACAGTTTTAACGTCAAATTTAGGCGCAGTACACCAAAGCGATCAATGCTGAAGTGTCCAAGGACTACGACAGAGCATTCCGTCTCTATGTGAAGGCTGCAGAGCAGTATTTGTCGTTGAGCCGCCACACCCCCGACGATCGGCTCCGTGCACAGTATCGCAGCCAGGCTACAAAGGCCATGGAACGAGCAGAGAAAATCAAGGCAGCAAAACAGGACGTCGTACTTGTACTGAAGGACGAGTTTTCCAACAGTATGCGCATTTCTTTCCGACCAGGGCGGCCGCTGACAATGAGCCCCTGAGCAGGTGAGCAACTCTATGTGTTGCAGAAGTCGTCGCTTGTCAATCAAGGTTACTTCCCCCTCTGGGAGTCGAATGAGAGGGCGGAATCCTCAGCGGAGTAAGTTTTGATAAACCCAGAAGGATAAGAATTAACACCCCAGTAGGCAGCCTCCATTGTCTTCTGAGCAGCAAAGCCACGGCGCTGTCTGGCGGCGTCCGAACCTCGATCGATATTCGGTGTGCATGGACGGTGACGATGCTTTGAACCCCCAAGACATTGCTCAGAACACCGTGTCTGACTGTTCCGTCTGCGGGGCCGTCGCTGTCTGCATTGACCACCATCGGCGTTTCGGTTCCAAGGTACGTTTACGGAGCTCACATATTTCCCGTTCAAGCGATGAGACATCGCCGCAGATGATCACCAGTTCGTTATATCCACAAGACTGCAGCGGGATGCCGTGCCGGTCTGATACCAACCAGTATCAGTTTCGAATTCTGTACAACGGCGATTATCGGCGTGTGAGTGTTTATGTCCTCGATGCATGCCTTTTCTGATAATATCGTCGCTCCCGGGTCCACCGCTAGATCAGTAAGCCTTCTTCTTCTTGGACTCTTCTCGGTACCAACGAAGCTCGATGATCAGGCTTCGATGACCAGCTGCCTAGCTACCCGGACGGTACTCTGATGTGCATGTCCGCGGGTGGTATGAGGCAACTATGGCCCTCCCTGGTGGAGAAAGCCGTACGTCGCGCTTGCTCACCCGACGTTATGTGGTGTCTGACTGGCGTCTACATCAGTACATGAAACTCGCGGGAGGTTATGATTTCGTGGGATCGTGCGTTTAGTTTGACTTGCGCGGGATTCGATCGCTGACGCACTTTCAGTGACTCGAGCACGGATTTACAGTGCGCACGCTGTCCGCTCACTTAATCACTTAATCTCTATATGCTGATTATGTCGGATAGCGCCCTGGCAGGCTGGATTCCAGAGCATATCGATATGAGAAGGTAGATCCGCGCGCTCGTGCTTGGTTTCTTTCCGTCCTGACTCGTAGTAGTGCAGATTTTCAGATGGAGAAGACATGGTCGCGAATCGCACGAGGGTACCTTGTCGGTTAGTGTGAATGTATTTTTCTCACCACAACGCGGTACCCACAAATGCTGGCAGGAGACTGCGTCCTCACCTTTGGGACGGGCGAGCGGCTTGCGCAAACAAGCCTTCCCATGCAACTACTCCCTGCGCATTGCTATGCTGTTATCGGTGCGAATATCCACGTATTCTGTAAACGTACTTATGCCAAGTAATGCTCGGTTAGGTGTTTGTAATGATGATCGGAGACAACTCACGATTTTTGACCCGTGGGTTCGCCCCCAAACGGGAAGATCTGGTGAGGTGGCCCCGACAGCGAGGACTCGTGAGTATTGTCTGGGCTTTCTTGTGACAATGATTGAGTGCCTGTGTCGTTACAGGTACCGTGGAGGTGTCTTGGGAAGAGGTCTGCAACATCTTTGACGGAATCTACGTGAGCTGGAATCCCGCACTATTCCAGCATCAACTCACATTTCATGGGTCTGTTTATTTATTCTTCGCTGGAATGCTCGCTGATACTTGCCACTAGTCTTTGGAAACGAGACGGAGCGAATGGGAGGGACACATGTGAGTGATGAGATTTCGTTATTACGGCCGTTGCTTAGTGGCCATCAGCCTGCCACTTCCCGGGTCAGTTACGCCTCGAAACGGGTGGGAAGCTCCCGAACGACAACGTCGTGTGGCTGCACCTGTCTCGACACGTGCGAAGTCATCGTAGCAGCGGAGAGTACATATCGTTGAGTGCGCAGAGCGGCTCTGGGGTAAGCTCATCGTTCGCCAGAGACGTACTTTCTACGAAGGTTAGTCTGATGTCCGGGTTCCGATTCTGTGGGAAGGCTGACTCCCCACAGGGCCAATATTCGAACGCTTCTCACGCCCTCGTAAGTTCCCGTGACCTGCAGTGAAACGCAAGTCGATTAAAGATGCACCTATAACCCTAGATACGAGTATCGCTCTCTGCGGGCGAGTTGTTAACGTACATCGCATCCTACGAGGGCGAAAGAGACGATGTGGGCTTTACGCTAACAGCTTATTCCCACGTAAAGGCATCGTGGGTGCAAAGTCCAGCCAAGCCTATGCACACCAAAGACGTACGTCGAACCGCATTACGGCACACACTTCGTTCATGGAATTCTTTCGATAGGTCGAAGGCGCCTTCACCCACAAGTCTGCCGGTGGCAATCACACCTACCCCTCTTATTACCTGAATCCGCAGTATCACCTACGCGTACACCCGCGTTTGGGACAGACACCACGCGATGCACGCGACGCCAAAGCCCATATCTCGCTATCCCTCACGAGCGACCGACACATTCCCGTCAACCTAACCCTAGCATGGTCACGGGGGGAACGCATAAATGAGCAAGTGTAATCCCTTTTTCCACCTTGTGGGAGCTAACGTTCGGTGGCAGGCTGGGACATAACGATCTCGCATTGTCGTCAGGGCCATATAACCACGGATACGCGCTTGCGTCAGGACAGGTGCCCCGTCAGTAGACCCCTCTACGAACGAATCTCCCACATTGACAGCGTTTTAGCGGGAGACTATACTCTTGTAGTATCCGCCTTCGAACCGCGGCACATAGG